TCAAGTTTGTTAGCTGCAGGCATTGGCTTCATTCACTAAACATCTCAAGAATTTGGCACAGCTAACACTAACTGTCCAGGGAAAGTCTAGTATGAGACATTTGATAAAGAAAACTGAACACAGCTATGAGTCAGACAAGAGGTGATGTTGGAATTGCAAAACAGAATATAAGATTATAATTTTTTCCTACCTCATTTATGAATAAATATGGCTGCAAATTAGGTTTCAGAGGCAATAGCAAATGAAAGAATGGAGGTACTGACCCTTCCTTCTAGCCACTGTTGACTGCTCCCTGATAGAGCACTGAACAAAAATTCAATGAAATAATTATGCAAATAGAGAAATCCAGCAGTCAAAAGAGGCAGTCTGAGCAGAGAGGAAAAGCTCCCTCCAGAGCATACCTCGAGTTCCAGCCTCCAGAGTGTTCACAAAATCCCCCACAGCCACAGAACACCCATGGTGCTTTAGGTCTTTTTAACTAATTCTTTTGGTAACTCACCTTGTATAAAACATGTGCCATCAGGCTTCAGGGAGAGATTATGTTGTGCAATAGGCAGTAAAGTCAGTTCAAGGATACTTTTCTTTCATATGGCACTCAGAAACAATTTCACTGTGATTGAACATCTGGCCAAAAATCCAAATTAAACCTTAATAAGGAGGCACTCACATATAGATTGTAATGAAAGAAAAATAAAAATGTGACTCATCAATCCTTTATGGGAGAAAGTGACTACTTTAATAGAGCTTAATTTACTGCAACCAGTAGCACTTTACAGCCGTGTAATAACAGCAAAGTAAACAGGTCAAATAAGAATAAAGCCATTTAACTGGACAAAACTGCAGGATCAGGCTCTTAAGTTTAGGCAGCCAAACACATCTTCAAAAAAATAACTTCACTTACAGTGACTCCTGAAAAGAAGATAGCTCAGAAACAAAAACAGCTCTGCAGGAGCAGCTGCTAAGAGATGCCTACAAAGATATCTGATGGACACACCTTTGAAGAATGAAATTTTTACACATTAAGAAGATTAGTTCTTTCAATGAATATCCTCCCACACTTCTCAACATCTTCTCTTCAAATATGTCAAAGCAATGCCTGGAATAGTTCTTCAGTAGAGAGGTTGGACTCTCAAGTCTTTCAGGAATAACCTCATTAATTTTGTGACACAATATACTGGGGGTTTCTTTTTGCCTTTTTTATTTTACTATATATTTTGGACCATGCTGAATTATTTCAGATACACCATGGCCCTGCAATATGTTTGAATATATTTAGAATCTCATATATATTGAACTCATTAACTGCATAAATGGTAAACATGGGGAAAAAACCAAACTGATGGGAATTACACTTCTAAAGAAAAATCTTTCTTCAAAAACACAAACAGAAAAAAACCCCCTATTTTTGAGTTTATGAATGCATTATGAATAACTTGAGGAAAGAAAAAAAAGTTCATCAAAAATCAAGTTTGTAAAGAGGTGTTAAAACTAATGCTAAACATAAAAATTTTGTAAAGAGGCAGGTTATGCAGCAAAATTTCTTCAAACTGACTCTGTAAGAACATGCCTGAAATAATCTAAACAGTTTAATAGCAGTTAAACCACTATACACCATTCAAATGCTATCCAGGGACTAGCTAGATTTAACTACAAATCCTAAAGTGCATCAGTATTCTCTCTCCAGATGAGGCAATACTGATAACACTGATGGTCAAAACCACAGGATGCTCATATAGGAGACAGCAAGTTCTATACTTTGTCTTTTCCATTTACAAAAAGTAAGAGACATATAGCAGTTAAACCACTATACACCATTCAAATGCTATCCAGGGACTAGCTAGATTTAACTACAAATCCTAAAGTGCATCAGTATTCTCTCTCCAGATGAGGCAATACTGATAACACTGATGGTCAAAACCACAGGATGCTCATATAGGAGACAGCAAGTTCTATACTTTGTCTTTTCCATTTACAAAAAGTAAGAGACATGGACACAATCTATACTTTGTCTTTTCCATTTACAAAAGGTATGAGACACGGACACAAAAAAATCATATGTGAAGAATAAGAAAGGAAGAAATTCAGTCCTCTGAAGTCAAACAAAATGACCAAGACTGGAAACTTTATAAAGCTTTTCCTCCAGTTGAAGCAGAAACCCAGCTGAGTATATCACACGTGCAAGAAATAAGGGCATGAGTAAAATTTTGACAAGTGGGTTGATAGAATAAGATTGGATTTCCACAAAACATTCAGAACAGATGAGTTTTTGGATGAGCTTGCAGAACAGCCTGATCTTTAAAAGCCTTGTCAGAATGCCAAACTGGGATGATCATCCACCGAAAAAACAACTTTCCAGGATACGATACAAAATTGTTCCAAAAATTTTTCATTAATTTAGCCAGAACAAAGTTAATAATCCATGACATAAATGTTTCTTTACTAGCTTGTTAAAAATGCTCAAATTCTCCCCTATAAAAATATTACAGCTAGAGGCTGACAGCGATTAGCTTATTCTTCTTCAAAGGAACTAAATAAATAATTAACCAGCAATAACTGGCAAGTTACCTTGACAACAAACAATTACTAATATGAGCCTGCCCAAGGGAGAATGAACCAGGGATTTCCAAACTGTGGTGTTAATCAAACTACTTCAAAGCAACACAAAGACTCGGTGCTGGCAGGCGGTCACTGCCTCTGGTGGATTCATGCAGCCTGACATGGAGCTGGGAGCTACTGCAGCCTCTGGCAATGGGTAATTTAGTGATGTACTTCTGTACAGCAAAAGGTCAAAACTATTTTTTAAGCATGAAAAAGGAAACAGAAAATTGTAAGTACCTGAATTACGGAGCCATTAAAAACATGTCAGTCATACTCAGAAATTAATATGAGGTGTACGTCCACAAGGTGTTATGCAAGATGTTTTGGCAAAGCCTCTGAAAAAAAATGCAGCTGCAGAACACTTCAGATACAACTGGGCATGATAAAAGCATCCTATGTTCAATCTGTAAACACTGAAAGATAATACAAGATATATTGGGGGCACCTAATTTGAGAGCTCTTACATGTGCCCTTCATCTTTCATGCCAGTGCGACTGGGCACAAAAGTTATAGAATCAGTTTCCAAAAAGTGAACACTTTACCTCTGCACTTTTTACATCTTTTTCCTGTTTCTAGGTTCACAGAGAAGCAACTAATGGGCAGTGCATAACATGACTGTTCCATTCTTCTGAAGACAGTTTCTAAGGTGGTATAATATTTCTGGAAGATAGAAACCTACACTATTTTTAAGAGGGTCCTTTTAAAGGGTCCTTATCAATGAAATTTACTAATAGGACATGAGGCTTTTCGTGCTAGCAAACCAGTTACTGTCATAGCAAATAAGAACTAGCACAGAAGTCTGACAGAGCCCTTCAGATGAGTGTCTGAATTAGATTATGCATAAGCCAGCATAGGCAGCAGTACTCAAAATCCTGCTGTAATGGAAGATTTTTCCCCAATGAATGATTTGTTGGTGCAGCATAGATAATTTTTTCATCATACTGGAAATTGCTTTGATCCTCTGAAATGAGAGGCCTTTGTTCTCATTACAGCATACCTCAGAGTTACTAACAAAGATCAAAAGTGTCTTTTCTTTCTGAGCCAAGACAGGCATAGACTTTCCCCTGTGCAGAAACAATACTCCAACAGTCAGAGCTACAGGGGGTGTGATTGGCATTTCCCAAACTTTGCCACTTCTATGACAGAACCTGAGCCAGCAGAGGTTCTCTTCAGGAGGAAACATCAATATCCCTCCCTTAAAGGACTTCAGTCTCTACAGCTACAACTTTTTAGTAGGGCACAAGTAAGTAAAATGGACATCCTTACCCATGTTCCTTGGGAAATCTTGACCCACATCTCTTCCTGACAACCTCCCTATCTCTCCTGGTTTTTCATAAGCCTCACACTTTGCTCTTCAGAAGTTCTTCCAAGCCAGAACATGAGTTCTTGAAGAATCCCCTCAGCCCACATCACCTTCCTGACCAGGCTGCATAAGTCCAGACTGCTAACAGCTCTCTCCCCATAGCCTAAGCAATACCTTCTAACTCCCTCTGAGACACAATACCCATGCTTGCCAACTCAAAGGCTCAAGTATGGTGTCCTCACTCAATCCATCTCAACTTAAGACTAAATTTGCAATGAAAAGATTTTAATCAAGTTTATATTCTCAGTCTCACTAAAGTTTATAGTTTTATCCAACACCTTCAACAGTGATACAAACAAGATTTTTAACTGTGTCTAAAGTAAACCAAAATGAATGGAGTCGCCTCGCAAATCCAAGGCCCATGTTTCTAAATCATTGCACTATCCTTGGAAATAGCACCCGAAATTCTATTTAAATTACTGCAAGAGAAATTCTGACATCTGGGATAAATTGCCAAGAAATCTCAAGATATTGCTTATACCAGAGTCAAATCTGTTACCAAAATCTGGAACTTGAACTAGTAGCACATTTCACATGCTCAGAAAATTATCAGCTGCCAGAGACTTCTGAGACTATTGAAACAGGACAGATTGAATACATCAGCTGGATTCAGTCCATTTAACTAAATATGAAATGCTCCACAACCCAATACCTATCAGAGCTCTGTTATCCTCACAGATTAACTCTTTCACAACAGATGTCTAATAAGCATAAATACAATAAGCAAGCAGTAATACCACAAGACTATGATGGCACAATATTTTTCAAACAGAAAAAGTTTCTTAAGAGAATGAAACATGAAAAATCAGCTCTGAGTTAGCACAATCACTTGCTGGTACTTCATGGATATAACATCACACCTAAAACACCCAGACCTGGGAAATAAAATAAATAATTAAGTGTGGAAAAGCTGACCAAAGTTTACATCTTCTGATTAATCTGTACCCATTTTATTCTTCCTCTGAGGTAATATAGACATAGAAAACTATCTCACATCAAATTCCTAAAATGGACTTTTCTGCTGGGTATAGCTACTGACCTGAAGCATCTGAAGGTAGCCTTCTTGTGGATCACACAGCAGAGATGATATTCGGTGATTGTTCCTCATGCATCTCTGATTGTTGTCCCTTGAGAGAGGGAAAATCTGCCGGATAACTGTCATCCTCCCCAGAGCACTATGTACCAACTCTAATATTTCATTATCAGTGATTTCCTGTGAATGGAGACACAGTCTTTTAAAAACACATATTTGTCCAGACATTTTGCATATTTCTTTCATTATTGGATAAATGTTTTTATAAAGACAGTAGGAGAAAAATATTACAGATGCACATGCTTAGTCTAGGCCAAATGTTCTTAATTTGGGTTTAATAACAACAATGCTGTTTTTTCACACACCATCTGAAATGAAAGAAAACAGCCTGACACAGTACCATCTATCTAGGCAATACTAAAATTCTGCAGATGTAGTGCCTCATAGGAAAGCACCAAGACAGACTCAGTAGGTTTCTAAATAAAAAAACAAGAGCTTTGAAACCAAACTTACCTAGAGGGAATTTTTGTTTAATAGACTAGAACCTCACTATATCCTCAGGACAAAATAACAAGTGGAAGACGTAACAGTCTTTAGGAAATATGGTCCTTACACCTGTGAAGAACATTACGAGAAAGCACTTTTCCCATAAGAACACTAGATCATTTCTAATCCTGATAAAGACTCAAGGAAGCCTTTTGATGTTATCTGGAGTAGGAAATAAAAACCAGGAGAAATTTCATGGAAGGGTCTGACACATTTAGGAACACTAGTATCTGCACACATAATAATTTGGGAAAAGATATAAGGATATCTCAAGGACAGACTGCTCTTCTTTCCAGGCTTCAACTTTCTAAAGTCTCTTTTGCACACCTTCACATGCTCCAGCCTCCTAATCCATCCTGGGACAGAGCCTGCAGCCACTGCTCTATGGTGACTGAAACCAACTCAACCACAGGCTTTACATATTTTGCATTTTAAAAAAGGCACAAACCCAAACCCTCTTTTTTCACCCCAGGATAAAATAGTTTGAAAGTCACAGGTTTAGTTGATCCTGAAATTATAACAAAGGTGCAGCTTGTGATGTTGGGTTTTTTTCCAGGCAGGAGTTGACTGTGAGGAAAGACAAGCAATGAACTGCTGTCTGCAGTCATCCCCCAGGCACTTGCTTTATATCCCATCTCCTTACCATGGCCACCAGCAGCATCTGGAAGTCACACCAGCCCATCTCCAGCACAGAGGCCTGCCCTGGCTGGACAGATGGGCCAGCCCAGTACCCAGCCTACACAGGACTGTCTCAATCCCTTGCAGGGCAGGCTGGGCTGTACATTATTCATGTTGCTGCACTTACACAGTGAACAGGGCCCACACCTTGTGATATGTCAGGAGGAGAAGTGAATCTGGCTCTGGACATTTAACATTCAAGAAAAAAATATTTTGTTTTCTTGCCATTTTCTCTGTCAAGCTGTGAGTGAAATGACCGTGGGGTTATTATAATTACTTGTTACGGTTGACTAGTACTGTGGCTTTGGCTCAATTTAGTCCTTCTTTGCCAATTTCCCATTGTTTTTTAGGAACATGAATTTTTAACTTTGCAGAAGGTGAAATTCATTGCATTAATGACAGGCCAACTGGTGTGGCATGCAAACAGCAAATCAGAAAATAAATGTATTCTTAAAGAAGACAAAGATTTTGAGTCTTAATAGAAAATGCTGAGACTTGCAGGGGGACACTGAAGCAGATTCATAAGCTCTATGGAAACCTCCAGGCTGTTGCCTTGGATTTCTCTTCTGTGGGGCTGAGGGGTGTTAAAACCACACACCATGTCTAAGCTTCAGTCTGAGGGAGAGACAATTTTATGGCATAGCTTTAACTCATAACCTCCTAGGCTGCATCCCTTGGCAGGCACACTGTTGTGGTTTAACCCCAGCAGCAGCCAAGAACCACACAGCTGCTCACACATTGCCCCACCAAGGGGATGGGGGAGCAAATCAGAAGGGTAAAAGCTACAAAAACTCATGGGTTGAGATAAAGACACTTTAATAGAGAAAGCAAAA